ATTTAAATACTATAAAAAAAAAATAAAATAAACCAATATATATAATCAAAAAAGGGTCGTAATTATAGTTAAAAGATTTGAGATAATGCCATAAAAAGTTTGGGTAGTGACATTTAATGCCTGCAGCCTTAGTTGTAATGAAAACAAAAATAGTGCAATTAATCTGAAGTAGTTGGATCCCACCCTACAAAATAAATAAATAAATAAATAAATAAATTAAATAAATTAATAAATAAATAAATTAAATAAATTAATAAATTAATAAATAAAATAATAAAAAAAATCAAAAAAAATAATTAAATAATTAAAATCAAATAAAAAAATAAAATCAATTAGAAAGCAAAATAAAAGTATTATAAAAAAAGAAATTTAACATACCGCCAGTAACAAGATGTTCATCTAACCTATCAAGAGTGTTCATATCTTCATCTTCAATCACGAAATCATATACTTTTGTATTATCAATTATGTGTATTTCATTCTGACTTTTGGGCAATACAACAAAATTATTTTGAAGGCACTATAAAAGTTTAAATTTGATATTTTAACATTAGCTAAAACATTTCAATATAATACAATAATAAAAGACAACTTATATACTTAACCCAACGAATCAAAATTTGAGCAGTAGATTTATTATATTTCTCAGCAATGTTAACAAGAATTTGATCATTTAACTTTTTTCCTCTGGTAAGTGGAGCACATGCCTCTACAATAATTTTATGATCAGCACAATATGATATAATTTCTTTTGGATTATTCCAAGGATGAACCTAAATATTGATATAATTTTTAAAAAAAAATTATCACAACATATTGATAACATAAAGAATTTAGATTTACTTCAATCTGGTTAACGGCTGGCATAATTTCAGGGTTAGTATCAATCAATTCCTTTAAATGTTTTACACCATAATTTGACATGCCGATACTTTTAACTTTTCCTTGTTTAACTAATTTTTGTAAAGCTCTATAAGTTTCTATACGTTTTTGAGAACCAGGTCTAGGTGAATGTATGAGCAGCAAGTCGAGGTAAGATATTTGAAGTTTTGATAAGGAAGTTTCTGCTGCTAAGAGAGTTGTTTCGTAACCTTGATCTGTGTTTTCACATTAAATTCATTAGTTAATACATTCATAATAAGATTACATATTTCCAATAGAATAAACATCATCCAATCTTTAAAATTCTTTTATATTTCATACCCATGTCCCAGATTTTTGTAGTGATAAAAATTTGATCACGCGGAATACCACTAAAAAGATACGTACGTAAAGTTATCAGAATTGTATACATGATATAAGACATTTCATTAGTTTACCTTTTGATGATACCAATTCCAATGTCCTTCTCATTACCATATCGTGTTGCAGTGTCTATATGTCTATATCCAGACTATATAATTTCAAATTATTTTAAATCTGAAAGATAATTACCAAAATTTCTACATGTATTTACCTTCAGAGCCCATAAAATGATATTTTGTGCAATTTCACCTTTGGGAGCTCCAGAGGCACTACTTACACCGCCAGTTCCTATAGCTTTTAAATTTTAAATAAAATATTTAATCCTATATTTATCGAAAAAAAACTATATAATTAACTAAATATTGAAACCTAGCAATGGAATATTATGACCATTATTCATTGTGACGGTCGAAGACAATGAAAATTTTGTTTCATCATGAAAATTGAAAATGACCATTTCAAAACTTTTAATCCGGCAAAATATTTTAGAAGGGCTAGAGGAGATATGGGTGAATACACAGCAGGACCTTGCTTAGAGTATGTATAGCATTGTCTGCACAAATATGTACAAATTCTGCTGATTCTGCTCAAAAAGGCCAAATAATATATGTAATACGTAAGCAAAAACTTGTCGTAGATCATAATTAAAAATGAAATGAGGGGTTTCTATTTGTCCGCCCTAAAACCCACTTATACTTGTTTATAAAACCTACTTAATCCTAACTCTAAAAAGAAGCCAAAAGAGTGCACCCTCAAAAATTTGTATTTTTCGATGGCTTGTCTGCACTATCTCTCATTTCATTTTCGTCACAATAATTATGTACTACCAAAAATCATTGCACGCATGTGATACATTTTTATTTGGAAGCATCAGCATAGCGAGTTTTCATTCTGATTGGCTAATTTATGTAGATCATCTTATCATAAGAAAGTCATATTAAAGTAACGATTTTCCGTCACAAGATTGAATTCCGAGACACAAATACGAATTCTGAGAGGGTAAGACAAACAAAATTAAAAACTTCACGTCTTACTTTATAAACTGTCAAAGTAGTTCGGTAATCTACGAAGTAATTCGGAAGTTAGATGAGAGGTATGTCTGAACATTTCAATTTAGCCAATAAGTCATAAATAATATACAAATCTATTAAGTTTAGTAATTTGTTTCTGAAAGACTTATTTTCGTTAATTTATTTTATTATGTTGTATTTATAAGCCCAAGATAGATACCGCCAGTAAAATAGTTTAGTGAAATAATTTAGTAACAAACCTAGCAACACGAAGTAGTGAAATAATTTAGTAACAAGCCTAGTGTAACCGTTGATAGGAGAGCTTAGTAAAATATTATGGAATAAGTGCCAATTTAACTTCAACGGTGTACGGATAATAAGGCTAACTTTGGATAAGTGAAATGGGTCTTTTATAAGTGTAAGGAATTAGTAGGGCAATAGGGTACTTTAGAGTAATACTTTGATATCAATGAGCGATGATAATGGGTGAAGCAATGACGGGTGATGCCGTTAAGGGTGATAACAAAAGATGATCCTAAGGACTGTGGTGATGATCAAGAGATTGAATAACCAATCATAAGTGTCGTTTTCTACCACAATTCCCGCAAGTCACTAATGTGAATAGCAATATCTGATTCCACAACTGTTCCAGAATCCGAGTCTTAATAAGCCAAATCGAAGTTATTAGTCAATTCAGTCCATCAAATTGAGTCTCGAAAGGGTTTATTAAAGTTACAAGTCAAATTCAAAAGATAAAGTCTCAAGGAAATTCAGATAAGTATATACACTTTATAGTTTATTAGGAATTGAAGGTGGACAAGATATATCGTTCTTTATTAAATTCCAGGCACTTATATACATTTTGGGTCGTTAGAGCATTTACGCTCTTTTTTGAACATATACGCTCTATTTTGAGCGTGTACGCTCTTTTCTGAGCATATACACTCTTGGCGCAGAGATCTACAACTTTGTGTAAGCGCGCATACAACTCTTTTCTAAGTATTTACGCTCTTGCATAAAACAAGCCTTCAAGCCATCATCAACTACCATTTTAGTATACTTGATTAAAATATTTACACATAACAAAGAAAAAGTCAGTTACTGCTATGAAAATGGAATTTGGTAAGAACTATATACATAAGAATAAAGATATAACTATAATAATATGTTTATATAAAATAAAATAAGATAAAATATAATATAATAAAAAAAAAGTAAAATTTATTTATTACATTAGTGACACGAAGTAATGAAGTATAAGTTTATAAATTTCGAGATTAGAATGTGATGCCATATTGATTATTATTAAGGTTATTAGAATCAAATAGTTTGTTGTCAATAAAACTAGTATTTCGATTAAGATTAATTTAGATGTTTTTGATTTGTTTTTTGTGCTTCTATTTTATTATTTCTATTTTTTTTTTTTTTAATTTGTGTATGTATTTAATAAGCTTTTGGTTTGCGGATCTTGTTGTGCTGGGCTTATGGTCTTAGATTCTTAATTGTGGTAATGTTTTATTAAGGCCAATTTAGTCTTATATAAAATATTTTATTACAATTTAGCTTCATATAACGTTAGGCGATATTTGATTACCGATTAACCAATCATATTTTGTAAATATCACGAAATGATCTACAAAAATCAGCTAATCACAATAAAATCCTGCTATGCTAGAAGCATCTGACCGCTAGAGCCAAATATTGAACTTTATTAAACAAAATTTATTATGATTTGCACCGGATATAACCATCATCAGCATAATTCATAATGTGTAACATTAGCCAGTAGTCTCCCACACTGCATAAAGCAAGCTAACTAGATATAAAATTTAAAGAAATAACAAAATGGTCACTTTTGCAAAAATTTCTTTGAAAAAAAGTATTAAACCAATAAATGTATATAAGGTTCTTCTTATAAAATTTATAGTTGTATATTCTAGTTTCTAAGCTTTTACTAAGTTTGATAAGAGCCTTGCTACCTTCCATTTTCAGAATAACCTTTTGGTTTTGATATCAAATATCTTGAGAAGTCTATAAAAAAACTTGACCTCAAAAAAATACCTACTTCTTGATATATTACATTTGATTAAGACTTCATCACAACAGCCTACTTTATATAAAACTAAAAAGTAGTATCTAATTAGTTGCTTTTCTATATATTTTGCTATAATTTGGTTATTATTTTTGTTGGCCAAGAGATTATCAGAAAGAGTTTTGTAAATTGAATAATTTTTGTAGTTTAAATATATTAATTATTATTTTTTAAATTATTTAACTTAATTATTAATTAAATAATTTTTAATTCTTTAATAAAAAGTAGTTAAATATTAAGTATTTAAAATTATTATAATAGTTAAAACTTTTTTACTTTCAGCAGTTTTTATTGAGAATTGTTTTAAGTATATAAAAGATTTTATAAAGTAATTTTCTTTTAGCTTTATATTTAAATAATAGATTAATATTATATACAGGTTACCCTCGTTAATATCAACCTATTTGAATTGATTTTAAATTATGTTTATAGTGATATTAATGAGAAATCATATTAAAGTTGATAATATGAGAGAATTTGATATATAAAAATTTATAAAAATTTGGTTTGTTGCTTAGGTTGATATTAATGAGATTGATATTAATAGGGGTAATCTGTATTTGTTTTTGATAAGCTATATATATTTATATATTTGTTATTACTATCTTGTACTCTTAATATATAGTTTTCTAATAATAATTAATCTAATTAAAAAATAAACAATACTAACTATTTTATGAATATATTGATCTTTTAGAAAAGTAGATTAAATTGTCTACTTTTTATAAAATTT